TTCACTATATGTGTACAGGTTTGTAATGAAATGAGGGTGAGAAAATGATGGCAGCATTACATGTTTGGGTGGACTGTTCCTTTAAGAAGAGTTTTATCAATAAAGATGCATGCTTCTTTAAATGTTTGAATCTTTTACTTTTCTTAAATGAATAGTTCAGCCAAAAATGATTCGTTCATTAATCAGACTGATCCACTTCTCAAGATTTGATGTCCTGGCTGCAATAGTTCATAATCCACCGGAATCGAATCGAGTATTAATAAAGAAATTTTGCTGTCACACAAAGATATCAAATGGCTTAATTGAATTATAATACTTGAGTCACATAAACTACTTTAAACGACACTTTTATTGTGCTTTTGTCACTTTGGAGATCGATAGCTTTATTTATCCTTAAAAAAAAATCACTTTTTTAGTTCCTTCCTTCAAGAAGAGTTTCAGTCAGTATTAGATGGCTGCATACTTTAAAAGTTTGAATCTTATGAATAGACACACTGTCCTGGCCATTACAGGGAACAAACTGTCTGAATGACATTTAAAGGACAAGGCTGATCAGTGCAGAGAATCTCATGCAGAACTACGACCCAAATGTAACCGATATTAAGCCATATGTGCACTTCCCTTAATGAAAGGAAGCAATGCAAAAATACATGGACACATAGTTCTCGGTTCCCCACAGCCAAAACGGCAAGTTCACTAGAGAAAATCCAAAAGAAATGGACAGTTCGTATCATTTAAGTTGGAGACGTGCTGGGCCTAAGATGGAGAGAGGTTTTGAGACAGAAGAGCTCGTGAGACAAGACTGGCAGAGGAGAAAAGCCCCCAGCCACAGGGAAAAATAATTAGGTTAAGTATATATAATCCTTTCAGCTTATTACAGCCCCACTGCCTCCATTCATAAAAACATGCAGCTGCCTGAGCTCACTCACAAACTCACGGCAAGGACAGAGACACATACGGTGCTCTGGAGAGCACAAACAAACTCTAAAATCATAGGCTTAGAGCTACATGACACATTACAACAGGCTGAGCCTCTTCCATGCCCAGCTCAGTGTAATGTTGCAACAACAAACTGGTGAAACAAGACAACTGTGAGGAGCAAGTGCGCTGTCAAAGATGACATTTTTATGTACTTTTTTTTTTTAACTGGTGCAGATTTTCATAGCAGATAGTAATCTATGGAATATTAAAGGGGTCATATGATGCGATTTAAATTTTTCCTTTCTCTTTGGAGTGTTACAAGCTCTTGGTGCATAAAGAAGATCTGTAAAATTGCAAAGACTAAAGTCTCAAATCCAATTATAACAGCTAAGGGGCCCCTTAGCTGTTATAAATTCACTGTAAACAACGGCTTCACAGTGTATGTTTGTAGAGTAATTTACAACAGCTTCGAACGTGGCTCAGCCAATCAGAATCAAGGACCGGAACTATCCGTTTTATAAATTAATTTAAACTCCTTGAGAAAACATCTTGAAATTGTAATGCGACATAACAGTGAAATACCCAAAAAACTATATCTAAACAATGAGTATAACAAAAGAATGGTAACGCTTTACAGTTACGTTCAACTGGTTGACGTTTGCTAATGTATAATGAACTATCAATAACCAGCATAAGCATTTATTCATCTATGTTCATGTTAATTTATAACTATGCTATTGTTCATTGTTAACTCATATTTGTTCATAATACATTAATGTTAATGCAACTTAAAAGTAAATATGGTAACACTTTAGTTTGGGGACCAATTCTCACTATTAATTATCTGCTTATTACCCTACACATTACTAGCATATTGGCTGTTTATTAATACCCTTAAAGCACATATGAATGCCTTATTCTGCATGATCATATTTTAGATCCCTCAAATGCCAACAACTTACAACTTAACAACTAACATACTACAGTAGCTACTAATACTGCTAACTAATACTAGTACTAATACTACTACTAATACTAATACATACTACTAATATGGCCACTGCCCTCTTTTTTCGCAAGTAGGTTATGACACACTTGGACTGCATTAACTCACCTTAACATATAATTTTCACCTATTTCAAGTTAAAAACGTAACTTCAGTTGCTGCCTTAAATTTTCAAGTATAATCAACTTTGTTGTGCAAGACAACTTAAATGAAACTGGCTAAAAAAATCAAGTCGAATTTCATATCATATAATTTTTACAGTGTGGAGAAACAAGACATGACATCAAAGATGGCAACTACATCTTTTCATGCAATTATAAACATCCAGAGGCATTCAAAACCAGGTTGACTGCTTTAAATGAAGCACAGACTTGGCAAATCCTCATTTGAGTTTGTGCAAATGTGACCCAAATTATATTTACTCGGACAAATGGTGCATTGCACTTTACAGAATAGTGGTTAAAAGCTCATTTGTGAGTAACACAATCCAAGCGTGTCATAACCTACTTGCGAAAAAAGAGGGCAGTGGCCATATTTATAGAACCCAATAGTCTAGTTCTTATAGATTCGGTAGAGAACCGATATTTACAGCAAGCTAGCTAAATATGACAGCTCAATCAATATTCTGTAGTCGCTCAGTGTTTGATCATTTGTACATGGTGTTGCTTTATCAACCCAGCAACACGTTTTATTGCCATTTCAAAGCATATGGCATAACGTACCATATTTGGTCCAGCAAAGCGGGAGAGGGGAAATGAGGACATGTGCTTTGTGTATACAGTAACCTCACTCTTTGTTCTTATCATTAATTTTATAGGGTGAATGAAAGCGAGAGCAAAGTCCACAACGGCGGTGGCAAACGTGCCTGAACCTGTGGTGCAGTTTCAGCACATGCGGCAATATGCGGATGTGAGGTGCGAGCGTGTGCACGTGGGACCGTCAAGGGGCTTCCTAATATCCTATTCCCTATCTGCTCCTGGTGTGGTGAAGGGTTATTGCCGTCTTAGCAGCTCACCTGATTTAACCCCACACGTTCGACAAGGATAGCTTTCATTTTCTCGCGACTGCCTGAACAGTCGTGACCACCAGGAACTAATGGAGCTTGTCGTCCGAAAGCGTTCTGTCTCACCGTATGTAGGTCTAGTTCTAGTTTAAATCAGGAAGTGAAGGATAAACAGACCCCTCGGGGAGAAGCAGGGTACGTGCTGAGTACTGCCATCAAGATATATGACTTGTCAGCCATGTGAGGACCTTTAAATCGCAGACATAACTAAAGGGCAGCGATGCCACTGAAGTCTGACAGACACCAGGCCTCTAAAGCAGCAGGACTCCTGCGACCTGACCTTTGACAGTGCACATCATAAGGTGTGAAATCAAACAGAATGTCAACCGCCACTCACACGACTGCAGGTGCTCTCGCACCACGACTGTAGCGTCTATATTATGCACTTGACTTGAAAGCAACTGCATTGTCGTGTGTATATAAAACCTATACCTATGGCCTGTAACCAAATAAGATAAAAATGAATGGCATTTTTAATATGAAGCAATTTCTAAGTGCAATGCAACAACTGGCAGGTTCAGGGACATGACTGTCCAGATCTCAATAATTCTACGGTTTTAATTTGTGCACAGGTAAATAAAGCATACTCAGGGTTCACATCCCTTTTGATAGCGAATTTCAATATGGATCTTCAGAAATAAAAGCTGGTGCAGATTTTCAATGTCAGATGGAATATATCAATTATACTTTTTAGTATTCAAATGTCTCTTCCTGAGAAAACATCTTGAAATTTGAACATGGCACAACACTGAAATGAACAAATAACTAATATCCAGCCAATAAAATATTTTAAAGTATAACTAAAACAATGGTAACACTTAAAATAATGTTATTAACTGTTAATGTATAATTATTTAACAATTAGCATTTTTATGCATTTATTCATTTAGGTTCACGTTAATAACTATACTATTGTTCAATTTTAATTTATATTTGTTCTTAACACATTAACTAATGAAAATGAATGCACCTTGAAATGTTATAAATATTTGTGTACGTAAAAAATGGTAAAATTGCTATTGCATTATAGCTAATGTCAGCATGTAGCACCTTACTGTAAAGTATTCGTATAAATTCACTGCACAAATGTCTGTGACTTTTAATAACTTGTTAATATCCATGACTGTGGGAACCCTGTTACTAAAAATGTACTATAAACAGGCTTGACAGTGCAAAATAAAGGTTATCAGACTCTGATGATTTTTTTATAAGGAATGCACACGACTATCGATTTTTATGCAACAACTCAGACATGGACGACAAAATAAACTAAAGCATTCAGCTTTAGACAGTTGTCTGTGCTGGCAAATGTCCGATGATGTTAAGGGTTAGCGGGACAAAGGACATTTAACTTCAACACACCAAGATACAAAACCACCCTCACCCACTTTTCCAGTACCAACTTTTACATGTTCCAGGAACCCAAGGACACACTCAGCTCCTATCGTGGGTGAACACCTTATGGTTGGGACTGCACCCAACCCTGGCCATGAAAATTAAAATGTCAGCATGACAGCATTACTAGTTTTAGATGCCAGGCATCAAAATACAGCATCAGAAAAGATATACAGCCCACTGCACCTGACTATTACAAGGGCCCATGACATGTGAGAGTTTGAGCTCCATCCAACCTGTTTACAAACTAGGCGCTGCTCAGGGCACCACAGCATCGATGGGAAGCTCAACAGCTTGTCAGCAAGTGTATGATTAATGTGTGACACCCAACTGCGTTACTGGCGTTTTATTATAAGTGACGGCTTGCGCGTTAAGGTCAAATGAGAGACTTGGCTACTAGGCATATGGAGAAATTTAAATTCTAGACTTATGCGTCACGGTGCGAAGAGGCCATGTGCGCAAAAGCAAGGTTGGAGATGGAGACCCATAAACGAGCGAGCGTCAGTCGTGACAGCTAGCAATGCATTACACCAATCACATTTGCAATTAACATGTGTGCGGCAAGATTGGCTAAAGAATATGAAATAGTGGTCTTTACGAAAGCAGATGACTCACCTGTGCAGACAGCGCGTGGCTAGAGCTCGGGTGACATCAAATGCAGCGCAAAGCGAAATAATGATTTGTCAATAACTACGTCACGATCACTGACTGATGTGAGGCGCGCGCTTTGGTTGCAAAAGTTCCCGCGTTGAACCGAGAGCTTTTGATCGCGCGGTTTGCTGCGTAAAGCTTCGGACAATAACCAGCGGCTGCGGGGTGTTTCGAGTTGAACGACGAAGCTAGCGATGGGGAAGCGTGAAGCGAACTTGCTAGCTGCTGCTAGGCAGAAGACGAGATGAGGGAGGGCAGAAGGGAGGAGTAGAGCGAAAGTGTGCACGGCACTACGTGCATTCCCATGTATTGCCTCCATTTTAGGGGGATTCCCACTCGACCTCAGCGCAAACTGCGTATCACCTCATGTATGAGGACACCTATGATGAGAAATATTTGACGCTAAGGCTTTAGTATTTAAATGCATTCAATAAATATCGTACAGTACAGCGCCTATGTAACTATTTAGACATGAAGATACGTCCTCACTCTATAAATTATACTTTGCTTATGAGTAAATGGTGTTTTAAAGGATCACTTAGCATTTTTTAAAACGAGAAAACTTTACACAATAAAGAATTTAATCTAAATATTATTAAAATATGTATACTCGCATGAGATGATGAAGCCCAGACATATTCTTCTAGAAATGACCGTTTTACTCTACATGGAGCGGGTCGCCCTCTCGTGGACGCAGCCATGATGACATCACATGACCTGACGTGTCACACAATCGTCTAATTATTATTAAAGTCGGCATGAAACGGAAGTTGCGATTGTCTTTTCTTCTCTACGGCATCTGAAATGAGAGGGCGGGACTTGATTTCGTCCTTCGGGAATTGATTGGATCTTGGAAACTGGGGCGTTGCTAACAAAATGGAGGTAGATCTGAATGCCAGTTTGCAGTTAGTGGTGGGGGATTTCTCTCTACTGGATTCACAGCCGACACCCAAGCATGAATAAATGTTTTATTTATTAAGGATGACAACGACGATCAACGGCACAAAACATGCCTAAACAGCGCGCGAGAGAGAGAGACTGTCTGAATGACTGAGCGCGTCCTCCATCAGGTTAAGTCATATTCATGAAAAAAATTAGTTTGCAATGTCCTAAGAGTAATGTTGTCGTAATATCCTAATATCTTTTCAATGTTTAGGGGTAACGTACTCCCTCATGACTGGTGTCAGTGCTATAAAGTGAAGCATCAGCTTTTCCCCCTATCGTTTATCCCAGCGTTTACCCCTCACGTCACTAGCTCCGCCCTTGCACCATAGCTCGTGACCGAAAGAGAAGATGAGTCATTTTGAGGGGGAGGGGAGGTTAACGTATTTGTAAAATAATGAAGTGCACGGATAAATTATTATTAAAAAATAAGAATTTTCAATTTTGATTTCATGGTGACTTTAAGGGTGGGTTTTAGAGTAGTGCTGGTGTGAAAGAGACAACGCAGCTTGGTTTTGGGCTTGTGGCTTGAGGGGCGAGGCTAGCTGCACCAGGCTTGGTTAAGGGAAATAAGGGAAATACTGTACAATTCTACACAGAGCTTGTAGCATAAATCTGCATGATTAAGTGACTCCAGTTATTCCAGTTATGTGAACAACGTCAAGTGTGATACAAATAAGACTTTATTAACTACATAAACACTTAAACTAGTCTAAC